ATCTGCTTGGTCTCGTTTCTTTCTCTCGCCCATCTCTTTCAGGCACGGTCCCCCTCGCCCCCGCGAGTAACAGAAGGTCCCGCGGGCCGGGACACTCAAGGCCAAGGGCATTCCCACCTCGGGGCCTTTGCACTGGCGGTTCCCACCTTCCCCACCTCTCCGCCTTGTCACATCACTCTGGCTGGGCTCCAACGGCACCTTCCCAGAGAAGCCTTCCTTGCCACCTGGCCAGAGGTGACCCTTCCCTCCGGACACTCTGCCTCAGTGCCCACCTGGGGCTTCTTGCAGCACGCAGCACAATCCGATTCTGGAATGACCTGGTGCACTTACTTGATTAGGCGCCATCCTCTGTCCGGGCTCTTGCACGCAGGACCCGTGCGAGCAAGTCAGTGCACCGCCACCCTCTGCAGCTGGACCCGCGCCCAGCTCACTGCAGCGTTTTGGAAAGAAGGGAGGAAGGGAGTCCACTCTTTGAGGAAAGATCCTGAGCAGCGATGCAGTGCAGTGCAGTCTGGAAGGTACTAGAACCACGAGTGGGAGGTCCAGAGGGACCCAAAGCACTCTCCACACATGCACAGGGTTACAGACACACAACCAGTAGCCAGCCTGTGACTGATTTGAAGGGTTCTTGGGGCCCCCCACGGAGCAAGAAGAGGCCTGCCCACTGTGCACGTTTTTTCCACGGCCACTTGGCCCCAGGGGAGGCCAGGTCGTCAGTCTAGCCTGAAAGCCCTGGTTAACCTTAAGGTGCTGAGTAAAGCAGGCTTTGGTGGGCCGGCCTGAGAACCAACCACCAGTGATAATGCTTTCCTTGGAGAAAAGTGTTCTGAGCCCAGTACCCTCTTGAAGGTGACTTGCTTGTAAGTCGAAGGGGTTGAATTCTGCAGGCACAGAAAGGGCCGACTCTTAGGCTGGGCACAGGGGCTCACGCCTATAATCCTAGTTCTTTGGGAGGCTGAGGCGGGAGGCTCTCTTGAGGCCAGGAGGTCAAGAAAGTGCCCACTCTTGGCAAGTGGCTGCCAGGCTGGAATGAGGACAGAAGCTGCCACTCGGCACAAGCTACATGCCAGGTGGCATCTTAGGGAAGCCCCACGGCCCCGTCAGGTAGGGTTGCTGTCTCTACCTCACAGATGACGAAACTGAGCCTCAGAGAGTTCAAGGAACCATGGCCAAGATCACCCAGCTGGAAACTGGCAGAGCTGGGATTTGAACCTGGGTCTGACCCCAGAGTGCCACCACCATCTGCATGCTGCTGTCGTCTGCATCCTGGCCGTGGAGGGTGGTGGCCAGGCTTCTCTGCCCTGTGCCTCGCTCACACCCATTGCCCCACCATTGCTCCCCTGGTTTGGCCTGGGCACGGGTGCCAGGGGGTACACCCAGTGTGGGGTGCCAGCTCAGGAGGAGAGCCCTGAAGGAAGGTGCAGGGGCGTAAGATGTGCTCGGCCGGCTTCTCCTTAGGCCCAAGGAGCCGCCCTTGAAGCTTTACTATTCTCACCTTGGCTCCTTGTCAAGAGGCACTCACAGGTTTGAGCTTTGCTCTTGGGCCCTGGCTGTGACCCTGCTCCCCCCACCATTCTGGTTTCGAACTCCTGACCTCGAGCAATCCACCCACCTCGGCTTCCCAGAGTGCTAGGATTACAGATGTGAGCCACCACAACTGGCCCCAACCCCCACCCATTCTGGTCCAAGCCCCTCCCACCCCACACTCCCCCCCCTACTGTCAGAGGATCCAGGAAGGGAGGAGAGAAGGCACCCAGGGAACTGCAGCGAAGGGCCACCTCTCACCCCCACATAGGTTTCAGTTCTACTTAGCCCAACAAATCAGTGCCGGGTGACCATGGGACAAAGATGCCCAGGACCCAGGCCCTGGTCTTTAGGACCTTACTGTTGGGGGCTGGAGTCCAGACAGAGAGAGGCAGACGCTCAGGGGACTCAGTCCTCTTGTCCCGTGTTGGGGACTGGCGCCAGGCATTGGAGAGTCTAAGAACCATAGAAGAGTTTACAACCTACAAGCCTGCCTTGGGAAACAACGGCTTTTCTTTGAAGACCATAGTTTCTGTTTCACACTCCTCACTTGCTGTCACTCCCTGATGACAAATGTCCAGGAACAGGTGTGTGTGAGAGGCTTCTTTACAGCCGGGGAGTCACACACCGAGTAGCAGGGGCCATCTGCCCGCCTGGGTGGGAGAACAGCCACCAGCACTGGGCAGGGCAGGGTGAGACCCCCACCCCCGGGGCCAGGGCTGACCACACAGCAGCCGGTGGCTGGTTCAATAGCTGGGCTGGTGGTGAGGTCTGGGTGTGAGCTGGAGCCCTGCGGATGGGGTGGGCAGGGTCTGTCCACGGCCCTTGGTCTCCCCCACCCCACAGGGGGGCCACAGTGGAGGGGGGAGCCAGACTGTCTGCCTATGGTAGAAGCTGGCCCCTAAGTGCCCCTGAGCTGTGCCCAGGGTGGCAGGCACAGAAGGCCCACTTATACCCTCCGTCCTCTCCCCGCCTCCCAAGGCTCGGCCCTCACACCCATCTCGGAGACTCCCTTCTGCAGCTACGGGGCTGCTCTGCCCAGCCCAAAGGGCAGAAGGGCGCGGAGAGGCCCAGACGCCTTTCCTCAAACACCCGAAGGGAGCGTTGTGACAACAGTGGCTTTATTCTGAGCACCCCCAGGGGCAGGCCTTGGACCTGGAGCGCAGTGACAAGGAGGGAGAATTCCCCTTTGCAGCAGCGGGAGGGGCTGCGGGTAGCAGGCTCCGGTCCCCAGAAGCGGCCGATCCGTCCAGACTGGCGGCCCGGGTGTCCGGGGTGTGGCGGCAGCTGCAGACCCCTCTCCCCTCTGCCTACCGGGGAGAGGCTCCCCCCACCCCCTGCTCAGATGTTCTAACATACTCTGCTTCAGTGACAGCTCCCTCGGCCTTACGATTTTTCATTTTTATGGGCTATTAAGGATTTTTAGAGGATCAAAAGTTGTGTGAGGGCCACTGGGCGAGGGAGTGCAGTATTTTGTTAAAAGGTGTCAATATCCAGAGTCCAGGGTGCTGGCCGGCCGGCCGGGCAGGCGTGTGGCGCCCCGCACACCACATGGCCAAGGCTCTGGGGGGCACGAGGCTCTTGGCAAATGGCACCCGTCGCACTTAAACTTCCTCTGGCCAACGTCCAGGCTCTGCTGTAACCGCCTCTCGTAATGCCCCGGCCTCTCGAACTTTCCCCAAAACACCTTCGCACTTTCAGAAACTGCCCTCGTGATTCCTGACCGGCCCCAACTTCCTCTAGAGCTCTCGGCTCTGGAGTAAACAGCAGCTTTCCCGCTGGCTCCAGACGGTAAGTCCAGGAGTCTCCAGGCTGCGGCGGATGTGTCATCCCCACTTGTTTGTTTATGCAGCTGAAGGCCCCCGGGGAGGGGCCAGCGGACTGGATGTCAGCGCAGCTTCACTCCTTAGTGTGAAACGCAAAGCTCCTGAAATCCAGACTGAGCCCCAGCACTCTTTTGTCTACCGCAGTCCAGAATAAGGGAGGGGTCTAGGGGGGACCTGGGGCTTCCTGACAGCCACTCCCGGTGGGCACAGAGCCGCAGGACCCAGGCCGGATCCAGGGTAGGTGCTTCTTCCATTTAGGAGACAGAGCAGGTGGTGCCACGGGGCAGTCAAAGACCCCAGGCAGGGCCCCAGGGCCCGTCTCCGTGTGGGGAGGGAGTCCCTGGCCGGGCGGGAGCACTGCAGCTGCTGGGGGGCTGCACACATCTGGGCCCCAAGAGGCCTCGTGGGGACATTCTGAGACGAGCGCATTGGTCCTGGGCCCTGTGGGGGCTATGGAACAGGGAAGGGGGCAGCGCCAGGAGGGTCTTGCTCAGCCCAGGCAAGGCTTGGGCCAGGCCGGGCCTCCCCCTGCACAGGGTGCCACGTGGCAGCCACGGCTGGGATTGTGCCAGCCGATGCTGCCCCCTCAAGTTCCCTTCTGACTCAGAAGAAACCACCAGTCCATGGCTCCGTGCCCACTGGGGCCACATCGACAGTAACTAGGGGCTGGTGGCATGCCAACAGGGCCTGCTGGGCATCACCTGTGGGGCTCAGGGAGAGAAGGGAGTAGGGGTACAGTCGGGGGCCTGGAGCCAGCCTGGCAGCCTCTCCCCCTCAGTGGGCCCTGGGCCTGGTGGCCAGTGGCTGATGCCCAGGGCTCTGGGGCCAGTGCTGTTCTTAGCAGTGCCCCGTCCCTGCTGTCTGCCTGCTGCCCCAGCCAACATCACCACTTGGCTGCGGTCCTGTGGACTGTCTCTTCTGTACGAGCCCTGGATGCCCTGGGTCTGGGTCAGGGGCAGCTAAGCGGGGGAGGCAGGCAGAGACCACAGAACCCCTGCGTCGGTTCAGGCAGGTGTCTGCCCTCAAGCTCGGCGACACCGGTGCCGCCACCCTGGCCTTCCGAAGGACGCCCCACTGCCTCCCCGCCCCAGCCAGGCCAGGCCTCACTTCCCAGAGGCAGCCACGGGCGGGGGGTCCTCCTTCCCTTCCTCCTCCACTGAGAACATGACGTCCCCGCAGCTGCCCAGAGGCGGCTCCGTCTCCTGCTCCGGGTAGTGGGGGACGTGGTCCACTTCCAGTTCTTCCTCAAGCTCGGGCCCTGCCGGCCCCGCCAGGGCCTGGCCCTCGGGCAGCTCAGCCTTCACGGTCCCCACGATCACGGTGTCGGCCTTCATGATGTAGATTTTCTCTGCAAGGCAAAAGGGTTGTGAGGTGAGCGGATCACAGCCCCGGCCAGCGGGGAGCAAGAAGCCAGATGAGGGGCCCAGGCCCGGTTCCGCCACTCCTGCTGGGTGACTTCAGGCAGATGACACGGCCCCTCTGATGCACGGCAAGCCTTGCCGACCTCACGGGTGTCCTGCGGCCCAGAGGACATACGACAGCCAGGAGCCGCGCCTTGAAGGGTTAAAAACAGCCGCTCGGTACTGGAGGCGGCTGCCCAGGACTCTCTCGGGCCTTCTTCCAGGAGGGTAAGGAAGAAGAGGACATGGCTGGGGAGAGAGCAATCCGTGAGAGGAGACAGGCAGGGGTGTCGCCAACGAGATCACCTGTGGACACAGGTGGAGCTGAGCGCATGCCAGGCACTTCCAACTCATGGCTCCCCAATCCTCGGCACTCAGCGCCCCCATTTGACAGACAAGAACCTGCAGCTCAGAGGAGAGGTCAAATGATCTGCCCAAGGTCAACACAGGAGAAATCCCAACAGGAACACCCGGCCTGGCTGCCTTCCTGCTCCCATCCATGTGCCTAAAGCAGAAACCCGGGGTGACCAACTTGTCCCAGTCTGGCAGGGACGTTCCTGGGTTTGGTGCTAGAAGTCCCAAGTCCTGCGAGACCCCGTCAGCCCAGGCAAACCCAGCCAGCTGGTCACATCCTACAGAAACCTCAGCCCCGTCCATAAGCGACAGCAGCTGCCAATTCAAACAGCCTTGCGTGGGGCTGTGTACTTCAGGGTGCATGGCTCAGAGCCGGCCTCCGCCTGTGGCCTGCACGGCTGTGCCCGAGAGCACGTAGTAGGTGCCGGGTAGATCTCACTGGGACAGATGGCCGAGCCCAGCCAACTAGAAGCACAATCCCTTGTGGTCCTCACCACAGTCCGATGTGGGGGTTTCTGGTGTGGCCTTCTGACCGAGGGGGACCTGGTGGCCCAGGGGAGTGACGTGGTTGAGAAGCTGGGAGAGGGGAAGCCCGGGCTCGGCCCGACAGCTGACTCCGTCCCCCAGCCGGCCCCGGACTCAGAGCAGGGCCAGCCCCCCACTGCCCCGCCCGGGGATCTGAGGGTGAGTGGCCAATCTCAAGAGTGAACTTGAGACCTGGGGTGGGGCCGGGGCTCAGGGACCCTTGCCTCTCTGGGTAACCTGGTTATACTCCTCAGATTCAGGAACCCCAAAAACATTCTTGAGGGCTCCTGTACCCTCAACCCCAATGCATAATGCCAGCTCTTCTCTTTTGGTTTTGAAGACTCCCAGGAAACAGAGAAGTGTTCAAAATAGCAGCAAGAACTAGAGGGCTGGGTGCCCCCCAGACCCTAAAACAGAGAGCAGGGCCTCGGGCCTCACCCCACGCCTCCATCAAGGCCCGAAGCAACCTCGACCAGAGGAGCCGGGCAAAAGATGGGGACCACGGGTGGTGAGACAGGGGACCTCTGGAGGGTAGAGAAGGCTCCAAGGGGGACAGACAGGAGCGATGAGAGGCGGGTGGAGTAGGGTGGGAGGGAAGCGGGGTGGGCTTGTCTAAGCAGAAGCAGCCCAAGCCTCACCCCGCCCCAGAGCTCCAGAATCCAGAGAATTTGTCTTGGTGGGGGCTGGGGTGGGGGAAGGGGCTCCCCTGCCTGGTGCTCAGTGGGGAGGGATGAAGCTCAGGCCTGAGTCTGGTCCCTCTTGGGAACTGGACGGCAGGGAGGATGCTGGTCTGGGGCGGTATTAGGCAGACAAGGGGGTCACCCGTGTCTTGGGTGTCCTAGAGAATCTCCACAGCGTCCCCTCCCCATCCCACTCACCAGCCAGGCTTGGAGGCCAAGCGGGGAAGGCTGCCCGCCCCAGCGCAGTGGCCCTGGAGCCCAGGACCTCCTCCACCCTCCTCCTCCACCCCCCCAAGCCCCACCCCGGAATTCCAGGCACTGCACTCAGCATGGACGCAAATGGTCCGATTAGGACTTCTTAGGAAATTTCAAGAAGGCTTTGGCAGTATTTCCCAAACTACATACTTTTCAGATAAAACGTACTGAATGCTACAATTCCAAGTTTCAATTTGTCACAGAAGACTCTGCCCTAAAGAGTTCTAACCACCAGCGTCTGCCATAGAAATTCGTAGGACGATTACATTTGCCTCTTTGGTATTACCCGAGTGCCAGTCACCCTTCCAGAGAGGACAGAGACGGGGCCCACCGAGACCCTGCACCCAGGGAGCTCACAGCCAGGTGGATATGAGGGGGAGGCTGTGACCACAGTCACACTGCTGGTGCCCAGGGCACTGAGAGGGGCAGGCCGGGGTCTCGGGGAGCACAGCAGAGGGGCATCTGGCCTAATCAGGAGATTGGAGAGAGCATGGAAGGCTTCCTGGAGGAGGAGTCGGCAAATAAGCAGCATCCCCCAAGACATTAGGCATTAACTGGATTCAAAGAGGTGGAGTTGGCTGTTCTAGGTGAGGAAGCAGCTCCTGCTGAGACTGAGGAGTAAGAGGGACCCGTCCACTCGTCCACTCGGGAGACTGCCATGAAGAGGGAGGGGCAGACTGTGGGGTTGGGAGGCAGGTGAGTCTGGTGGGGGGAGCCAGCATGTGAGCAGCCTTGAATGCCGGGATGAGAATGCTGGAATTCATCCCGAAGGTAATGGGAACTACTGGAGGGTTTTATGCAGGGGTGTGGGCAGGTATATATTTGGGGGGAAACTCCGGTTGTGCCACAGTGGAGAGAAGCAAGAGAGGAGGCAGGGAGACCCTGGGAGGCCAAAGCAGAATGTCTGTCCACTCTGGAGGGCAGCTGCAGCTGGGAAGTGCCGGGCACCTGGCCCCATGTGGCCTCTGTGCTTCCGCAGGGGCCAGGTGGTGGTGCCGGCAAACCAAGGGCTTCAGTGCCCAGCAGACATGGGGGCGAGTCCCAGCCGTGCCACTTAGCCAGGTGACAGGGAAAGTCATCTCACCCCTCCGAGCCGCAGCTTCCCCAGTGGTAAAACGGGGAGAAATACACCATCCTCAGGAGTGACAGCCAGGCACAGGGCTCATGCTTGAAACCCCAGCACTTTGGGAGGCTGAGGTGGGAGGATTGTTTGAGGCCAGGAGTTCAAGACCAGCCTGGGCAACATAGCAAGACCTTATCTCTGCAAAATATTAAAAAATTAGCTGGGCGTGGTGGCTCACGCCTGTGGTCCCAGCTACTGGGGAGGCTGAGGCGGGAGGATCCCTCAAGCCCAGAAGCTCAAGGCTGCAGTGAGCTGTGATTGCACCACTGCACTCCAGCCTGACAGAGTGAGACCTTGTCTCTTAAAATAAAAGTGGTATGACAATGAGAGATGAAGAGATGACATCTGCACGGTGCCTGGAATGCCCCAGCCAGGGGGCAGGTCCTAGTGTCACTGCACGTCTTCCACCTGCCTGTGTTGGGGGTGGGGTGGTGCACATTTTACTTTAATGACGGCAGGCACTGCGCTGGCATCTCCGGTGCGCTGTCTTGAGCTCTCGCAGTGCCCATGACAGAAAACAGCCCCTGCCCTGTCCACGGACAGGTCCGTGTAGGCACAGCAAGGTGCTGGGGAGCATCCAACGGCCGCCCTTGCTGGCGCCGCAGCGGAGGTCCTCTCTGGCCGCACCAGGATCCAGGACAAGGCCGGACTCACCGATCCTGTTGTTGGTGTGCTCCGTGGACACCCGGGGTTCAGGCAGGTCCTGGGGGACGAGGAGCCCCCGGGCGGGCTGGCATCCACAGCGGGCAGAACTTGTCTAGCAGCAGGCTGTCCCCACGCCGCGGCAGGTCTCCACGGGCGGGGCTTGTTAACTCCGGCCGTGTCACCAACACGTCCCTCCTCGGCTGCTGCGGAAAGGGACGGAGCTTGATCGGGGCCCCAACGGTTCCCCACAGCCACGAACAACCGGAGGCACCTCCTTCATCGCTACACACCCCACTGAGTCTCCCTCCTGCTTTAAAACGGCCTCGGAGCTGCCTCTGGGCTTGGGGCCTTGAACAGCTGGGACACCTGTGGAATAAAGAATAACAGTCCAGCCACCCACAGTGGCCAATCCTAACAACAGCAAATCACAGTGGTGCCCCCGATCCTAACACATGGTCAGCCACTCACAAGCGCGTGGCCGATCCAACCACATGGTCACCCACTACAGCACCGTGGCCCGATCCTCACATGTCCAGCATCACAGTGCCGTGGCCAGATCCTAACACATGGTCCAGCCCACTCAACAGTGGCATGGCCCGATCCCGTAACACAATGTACCACTCCACAGTGCGTGGCCGATCCTAACACATGGTCAGCCATCACAGTGCGTGGCCGATCCTAACACAGTGTTCAAACCACATTCAAGTGCGTGGCCGATTTCCTAACAATGGTCAGCCACTCACAGCACGTGCCGAGTTCCTAACATGGGTAGCCACTCAGCACGTGGCCCCTGAATCTACATGTTCAGCCGACTCACCAGCACGTGGCTGATTCCTGAACACATGGTCAGCCACTCACGAGCACGTGGCCCCTGATCCTAAACATGTCAGCCACCAACGACACGTGGCCCGTCCTAACACGATGGGCCAGCCACTGGTCACAGTGGGAGGCAGTGGCCCGTCCTAAACATGTCCAGCCACTCACAGGAGTGAATGGGCCGAATCTAACCTATGGGGCGTGCTGTTTAATCCGCCAAAACCTAGCACGTGGGAAATCTGCAGCCTCGCCATTTACAGAAGGAGGAAGCCAAGGCCACAGAGGAGCTTCACTCACCCAGGGCTTACACCAGTTTGTGAAGCACCTGACCAGGATATTGACTCTGGTATCTCCCCTCCTATAGACCCAATGCTCCTAACACCGTACGTCTGAAAGAAAAAAAAAGTGACAAAGCAGGCCGCCACTGCCTCTTAGCGCTCCACCTCACCTCCAGATAAATAAAATAAGACAAGGATAAAGATAACAGGGAAAGATTAAAATCTTTATGTAACACGAGCACCACCTGTAGTGAGTTTTGCCAAAATGTCATCTGAATCTTATCCTGAGAAACAGCCGTGTCCCAAGAATGTGTTGGGACGTTTATGAGACAAGCGCCTAGATTTCCTAAAAGGAAGAATGTGCGGAAAGGAATAGGGGGAGGAGACAGGACGACTGTTCTAGTTAAGAGACCTGAACTAAATAAGGTGGTGTTCTTGGTTGAATCCTGGGAGTTAAATTGTTAAAGAACAAAACCTGTAGAGTCATTAATTGGGACAATTAAACAGAAGTATTTAAATGGCTTTTTGTGTGTCCTGATTTACGTTTGTTGACATGGAGGGCAAATTGTGAACTGTACAAAACGCGTTTTCTTGTCTCAGGAACCGTGTGTGAAGTGCTTCAGTGGTGCAGCGTTCTGAATGTCTGGTC